AGTTTAAAATGTTTGAACCACAATAAGCCTCAGCCATCGACAAATCCCCCCTTAAAAAAAAAAAAACAAAAAAAAACAGGAGCATAAAATTACATGTTAAAAGAATAAAAATGCATCCGCCCAATTAATTTTCTGAAATCTCATTAAAAAATTTAGCCTGACTAAGTCAGAGTTCTGACCTGAATTTTAATCATCTTTACACTGAATGGGTCTTTTTTTCCCTGGTATTTGCAATGCATCATTAATTTTAAGGCAACTGTTTCTGTGATTTTAAAAAGCGTACTTGATCAGAATGACATTTCCTGTAAACGAATTTCACCTTTAAAGACATCTGACACCGTGTGTGGGGAGTTCTAATGGATTCGGTGTATGTGTTTACGGTGATGTGTTTTAAATCTGTGTTACACAAAAGAAAGGCAGGGTTTACAGAGAGTCTATATTGTCAGGCTCTTTACGAGGCCGACCCCGCTCAGGTCTCCACAATCTGGCTAATTTCAAACCCAAAGCTCATCTTCCCTCTCGCAGACCTGGTGGCAGGAAGGGGTGCTGTGGGGCCACAGGACACGGAGAGACTCCTGGCTCTGCCCCTCAAGAGCAAAACATAAGCGGCATTTATCTTGGTTTCCTCCCTTGCAAAACCGAGTTCTGAATAAGACCTAGCTCCTAGCTGGTCGGAGGATGGGATGAGGTAAGTGCCAGGTATTGCACTGTTGACATGACCACCACCACGACCGTCCCAACCTGGAAGTCTACACTCAGCTCCCAGGGCCATCAGCACATGGGAACAGTGAGCAAGATGGCCAAAACACAGGAGTCACCTGATAACAAAGCACAGGATCGCCTCAATTGCAGTGGGTCCCTCAGGACAATTCCCGCTGACTGAGCTCAGAGGAAGCTGAGCTTAAACATACATAAGAGAATCTGGAACCAACTCCAGTGACTAGCAAGCCAAGACTTGAAAGGTGAAAGCCGTAAAGAGCATCAGCCATTACGCCAGAAGTCTGGATACATCCTCTACTCGGCTCTCCCTCACCCCTTCAGTTACCAAGTGCAGTGGGTTTTCTCCCTGCAAGTCTCTGGAATCTTCTCTCCCCATGTCCAGCCGTTTAAGACCATGGCACCATCTCACCGGGGAGAAGGCAGTGGCCTCGTCTCCTCCTATTTGCACCCTACCTGTGCCTTGAGCACCAGCAACCACTGATCTTTCTAAAATGCAAGCTCCCTTGTCCACCTAAAACCACGAATGGGCTCACCCATCACTCACTATAGACTCAGTTCCAGATGACGCAGCCTTTCATAAGCACCAGCCGTTCTCCCATCCAAACACTGGCAGTTAAACACTTGCCTAACCTGACTGGTCCTGCACCTTCAGGCCTGGCTCCTTCCTCTTCCTGGGACATCCTCCTCTCCCTGTCTTGCCCTAAATCATGGCCAGTCCACCTGTCATCTCTCTAGAACTTTCCCTGTCCCACCCCACCCTCTGGGCTCCCTCAGCATCCGCCTGTCCCTCTGTGGGGCCTTCCACCTCACACACGGTCTGTACCCACTTCTGTGTGGGGCTCCTCAGCAGACCCAAGGCAGAAACGAGACAAGCATTTGCTGAATTTACAACACGTCAGCAAACACTTCTTGAATTTTAATAGCTGTTAAATATTTGGTCATTAAATCTTACCTAGCTACCAACATTGCTTTGGGAAGATTTTCATAAAGATTTTGGCCTGTGTGATTCAGATCTGGAAGCAGCTGTCCCACCCCCTGAAAAGTAAGGCGCATTCCTCTTTCTCTGAATAGGGCCCAATATAACTGAACTTGGCACGCCCCAAGCAGGTTTGCAAAGACTTTCCAGATGGAAGACACATTAACCAGGGCTTTCTCAGACACGAGCACCTTTCTCCTTCTTGGAAATTCACGTGGTTCTTAGTGGGTCAGCTCTGTTTCATTCCTGATGAAAACGCTCAGCAGCAAACTGGTAAAATCATAAAGCATGGGGGCATCAGAACTCTTTCTCTCGATTGCATGCATGCATTCATTCATTCATTTGAAACCTCAATGATTTCCCATGTGACTCCACCACGTTCAGCAAACGTATTTTAGTAAGAGGACAGCTCTCACAGCTAGAAAGCTCCCTGAAATGACAAACCACTAGCCTTGCGGCACAGAAACTTAACAAAACCAGTTTGAGTGGTTGCTAAGTTGTTCCTTCTACACTGCGGGTATTTCAGCTCTGGGCTCCTGAGCCACGAACACGAAAATGAAGGTTAAAAGAGAAGAATGAGGGGCGCCTGGGTGGCTCAGTCGGTTAAGCGACTGCCTTCGGCTCAGGTCGTGATCCTGGAGTCCCGGGATCGAGTCCCGTGTCGGGCTCCCCCTGCTCTGCGGGGAGTCTGCTTCTCCCTCTGACCCTCCCGACGCTCCCCCCTCTCATGCTCTCTCTCTCTCAGTCTCTCTCTCTCAAATAAATAAATAAAATCTTTAAAAAAAAAAAAAAAGAGAAGAATGAAATCTGTGACACATATTTTCCCTAACACCCACAGTGTCAGACGCCATGCTGGGGTTTTAAAGTATTCCACCTCACTTAGTCTTCACGGCCCCATTTTACAGATGAAGAAGTGGAGGCTCAGCTCATTTACCCGTCGTTGCCTGGCTGGTGAGGGCTGGAGTCGGGATTGGAGCCCCGCCTGGTCTAGAACACAGTATTCTCGCCATCGCGGGCCCCGGCTCCTTCTCCTAAGGATGATTTCAGGGCAACAGCAGGGCCTCCTGCTGGAGGAGATGGAATATGGCTCTGCTGTCAATTTCAGGTGTTTCTATGTCCCGAAACAGGCAAGATTCGGGCCGCCATGTCTCCCCAGGCGGTGTTTAAATACCAGCGCTTCGTGAGTGGAGGAGAGAGGATGCACCTGCCTGGCCTCATTCCCGCCCTGACCTGGGGCGGTGCTGGTGTCTACACGGCTTGTGCACCCCAGCTTGGCGTCCCCGGCCAGATGCTGGCGGGACGGAGGGCCCCTCTGCCCTCTGCCGCCCAACGACGAGGAATCGTGTCTAATCCACTCCAACATGTGTGACCAGACGCCCGGACACCGCCGCCTCGCCTTGTTCGTGAAATAATTACGGGGCTCTCTCTTCTGCCAAATGAGGCTGTAATTAACCCTAATTGCTCAAAATGCAACTGGCTAATTCTGGGAGATTAATCAAGGGGGACTCAATTGTTAGTGAATGACTTAATATGACAAATTGCTGCATTACCCGAGGAGGCCCCACTGCCCCCAGCCATCAGTGAGCTGTGCTGGTGGACTCGGCACCAGCAGTGGCCACGGGCCTTTAGGCTTTCTGGGGTCTGCCTCCCCAAATTCCACCTGGGAAATGGGCCCGTGTCCCCTCCAGTAACGGGAGTGGAGAGTACAAATAGTGCAGATGCCCTAGGACACGCTATGTGGGGGGGTGTGTGCACGTGCGTGCAGACACACGAGTGCACGCTCACGCGCACACACACACACACACACACACACTAGTAGACACCGTGTCTACTAGTTCACATGTCTCACCTCTTCGTGAATCTGTAAAATTGCTCCTTCCCTTGGGCTGATGGAGCCCCACGCAGGGAGCATGGCTTGATGAGAACTCAGGTGTAGGAGGATCTCAGACTCATCGGCCTCCTTGGCCAGGCACCTTTGTGCAGTACACACCCGCACAACTGCACATGGAAGCCCTGGCCAAGCAGGTCAAACAGCAGAGTCCACCTGATGTCCTCCAACAGGAAGTAGGCACTTAGAGGCTGTGATGAGCCTTCTGGGGCTCGAGAAGGTAGCTGTCTCTGAGTCTTCCCTTGATTCGGGTCTCATAGCTTTGGGGACAAAGCCAACCCTGGACATGACTTTGCATCATACCAGGCTGTCCACAAGGCCCTGCAGCACCTGGCCCAGGTGACCTGCCCAGCCTGCCCCCTCCAGGCCTCTGCATGCCAATTCCTAAAGGAGGCCTCTCTGGCCATCCAGTTTGGATCATGTGCCTTCTGGAGCTCCATGGGCCCCTGAGTTTCTTCTGCCCTGTTTCCTACCTTTCTCTCCCAGGAGGCTGTGTGCTTTCTAAGAGCAGACCTGCGTCTGTCTCACACACAGCCACGTCAGGGTGTATTACATGTATCTGCAGTTCACTGACTCCCCCGGCATTGAGGGGCTCCTCTGGGCCTGGCCTGGGATGATGGGACCGGTAAAGCCCCAGCCCCAGATCTTCCGTTTAGGAAGGGAGGCAGACTTGGGAACCAGTTCCCCAGCGGGATGCCATGGCCAGAGCCCAGCGCCTGAGCCGCACAGCGGGGGGAGTGGGGTGGGACCGGGAGGCTCCCTAGAAGGAGCCGCATTTGGACCGAGGCCTGCACGAGGAGTCGGGGAGGGCACTCCAGGCCCAGGGAACAGCATATGCAAAGGCACAGAGTATGCGGGCAGCTGGAAACCCCAGAAGCCACCTTCAGAAAAGCTGCGGGGGGCTGCCTGGCTCTCCGAGGATCTGCACAGGGTGAGGTAGGTGTAAGGAAAGCAGTGTCCTGAGGCTCTGCGGGTTCTAGATAAGAGGCTGAAGAGGGCCAGGACGCAGCTAAAACCAAAAAGGGAAGCCAGCTTCAGCTGAGGGTAAGGAAGCACTCTGGGACTGCACGCACAGGCTGCCCGTGCCCCCCGGAGCCCCTCACTCTCTCCTCTCTCCTCTCACATGGCCTTTCTAACCAGCCCTGATCCCGCAGACATAAAGCTGTTCCATTCACACGGAAATCCCAGAGTCCGGCACAGAGAAGGCTTCTCCGAGTGCTGCTGAGTGAAATCAGGGCTGACCAGGTTGGTAGTGAGCCCCACTCCCACCCCTGGAAGCATTCACGAAGTGACTCCGTTGGGGGCGGGGGGTGGGGGTGGGGGAGGGCTTCCTCCAGTGGCTGGGATGAAGCAGCCTCAGGGACCCAGCTCCCTGCTGAGTCCCCAGTGCTCTGCAGACAAAGACAAAGGGCTCACCTGTGGGTCCGGGGGGTGTGCAGGCCCTGGGCTGTGGCAGAGGCTGTTCGGGCTTCCTCCGTGGGCCATGTGGCTGGGCTGTCCGGCCATCCTGCATGCCAGCCTCCCGGGGCACGGGCTGCAAAAGAAAACGCGGGCTTTCTTACACACACGCCTGTTCACCTTCTCCCCTCCACGTCACCAGGCTGGACGAGGCACTTCCGTTGACCCCATCTTCCAGCGGAGGTACAGAGCAACCACCCAGCTCAGAAGCCGCAGGGCTAGGACTCCATGCCCCACAGGACACACCTTCCCTCCATTTCCCATCTGACAAGGTTGCGAGGATCATCCCCACTGGATAGAGGGGGAAACGGGCTCTGCGCAGGAAAAAGTCTAAAGGCGGCCCCCCCAGCCAACAAAGGAGGTGCTGGATTCCACTCCACAAGAGCTGGGCTCCAAAGCCTTGTTCTTTCCACATTATTGTCCTCCGTGCTTCCCGGGGGCAGTTACAAAGCCCTGTCCCCCATGATCACCCCCACAAAAACCCAGATTGACCGCCTGGGTGGTCAGGAAAGAGACCCTGTGACAGCCTGCATGCAGTAGCTGCAGGAAGGACCCCACATCTCCATCCTTGCTGGGCCCTGGTACACCAAACCCGGGGAAGGCCAAGGCCATGGGTTCCCCTCACAGCGCTGCATAGACCTCCAGGCAGGCGCAGAGGCTTCTGCACAAGGGAGCAGTCCCCTGTGCCCCCCAGGGTTTGGGCTGCCACGTCAGAGGCCCCTAGGAGAGTCAAGGATGCCAGCCACCAGTTGTCATGGTAACCACAGCAGCAGTCCCTGATAAAGCACCCACTATGTTCCCTGGGCCTGAGCTAAATGTCATCTAAGAAGCACTCCCAACACCACTTCCCCTGGTGTCACAGGCAGCCTCTGCCAGCCTCACTAGCGGAGGGCTGCCTCTGGGGCATGGCCCAAGGCAGAGCGAGGTACAGCCGGAGGTGAGAGCCGGCACCTGGCCACTACGATCCTCCCGGACGCAAGGGGCAAAGCCCTCCCCCTTGGGAGGAAAGCCTTTCCTGCCGCCACAAGCATTTCTGCAGCAGCTTCCATGCCCAGGGCCAGGCCGGGGCTCCCACAGCACCGCGGAGAATGACAGGGCCTGATGCACGGGAGGTAGGTCCCTGTCGTAGTGCAGGCGTGTGGTGAGGGCCCCCGCCCCGGCTGTCCCCCAGACTCCACACCCCAAACAGAGCCCCTCAGGACTGGCCCAGGCTATTGCAGCAGCTTTGTCTACACCCTCCGGAGCCAGAGCCGAGTCCCTAGGAATTGGTGGCCCCCTGGACAGCCCTTAATCAATGACCAAGGGGTCCGGTATGAAGTGCCCTTGCCTGGGTCAGGACACTCGGGCACTCCGAGGTGTGACTCACACTCCAGGACACAGGGCACTCCGAGATCACACCCCTGCTCGTCGGCCTCCCCCACTCCCTTACAGTTTTCTCACTCTCAGGATCTGCGTCTGGAGAACCAACCGGAGACATCACTTTCTCCCTAGACGGACTCTCTCAGTCTTTAACCTGGTCACCTACACCCCAGCCAAACCCCAACCTGAGAGCCCCCCCTCCCCCGGTCCAGTGGCTCAGCAAGCTCCGTTGCACACACCTCCCAAGTCCACACCCGCCCTCATTAACACAGCGGCGTCTGCGCGGTGGGAAAGGAGTCTCTTCCTTCCTCCCCACTGTAGATTCTTCCAGCTACAGGGGGTGAGCATCCAGCCCTCCAGGCTCAGGGATGTCTGCGATGCCTTTTGAGCTATCAAAGCATGTCCACCAAGCCCCAAATGACCCACTGAGCTTGACTCTCCAGTTGTGTCTCCCTCGGAGCGAGGCCACGTGAGGCAGATGGACCAGACTCAGGCTCGCAGGGGAGCCCTCCGCAGCGGGGAGTCGTGCAGGGTGGGCGCCGCATCCTGCCAAGCACAGCCCATGCTGTCCCCTGGCTGTGAAGCTGCCAACACTGAGCCAGGTTCGACCCCCAAACATGGCATTTTATGTAGAGATTTTTTGCTCTCTTTTTTCTCGTCTTGAATCGGCGGCAGGAGGAGGGCGCTGTGGGGGTGTGTCCGCACTTCTGAGCCCTCTCCGCCCGCCATCCCCCCTGACTCTGTCCCAGTGTGGGACTCCCCTCCCACCTGGGCCCCCCAGGGCCCATGCCCTGTTCACCAGCTCTCCTCCGCGTGCGCCACCGAGGCTTCCTGAAATGCACATGGGACCACGGCCCCCTCGGCGTCTCGCCACCATCTGTGCCTGAGCTCCCACACCGGAGCACACACCCCCAGGGTGACACAGTGAGGACCGGTAGGAAAAGCCCCAGGATAAACACACAAACACGAGTGGCTTCCCGAGGCAGCACTGTTACTCAGTGGGGAAACGTGTGCGCCGATGAACCGGATTCGGAGGGAACAGAATGTAAAATGCGCATTCATTTTAAGATAAAACCGGTGACTCCTGCAGGCTCAGCAGCTGCTGCGGGCTGCATCCCCAGACCCCTCGGGGTGACATGTTCACCGTCCTCTGCCCTCAGGGAGACCTCCAGGGAGAGGTTGGAGAAGAACTGTCTTCAGCAAAAAGGTTCTGTCTTTATCTCTGTAAGTGTCAGAGCGGCCCAGAGGCCAGGCCCACATGTGCACCTGCCCACCTGCCCACCTGCCGACGGACTTCACGTGGACTGCTGACCACGGCATGTGCGTCTCTACATCTCCCTCCCTGCATCCGACCCCACCCAGCCTTCTGGGGCCAGTGGGCCTGGGTTTGCATCTTGGCCCTGTCACTCACCAGCTGGGAGCCTGGGCAAGTCACACTGGGCAGAGGCTTAGCAGGTGTCTGCCAAGGTCATCCCCACTTGCCCTGTGCGGTATTAGCGGCACCCTCCCAACATCTGCGCCCGGAGGCAGCAGACTACACACTCAGGAGCCCACCCCAGACCTCACACAGGGCTCCAGGAGCACTGCCAAGGGGTCCCTGGCCCCATCAGAAATAACAGTAATGATAATGATAAGTCAACAGTTGTGTGCTCTGATTATGCTAGGCCTTGCTCTGTACACTTCACCTCTTCGCCCATCTTTCATTTAACAGACCCTGTCTCATGGGACAGGGTCTATTATTGTCCCATTTTACAGAAGAGAAAACTGAGGCACGAGGAGGTTAAGAGATTTGCCCAGATCCGTGGCAGTGGAGCCAGAACTCAAACCCCTGGTGGCATCTTTGCCCAAAACCACCTCCCTGCACTCCTCACAGGCTCTCAGTGGCAATTCCTCATCTCCCTTTCCTTATACGCAAGGTGGAGAACTTCCTACGTCATCTCCCCACTGAACAAGTCCCTTCCCTCAAAAACAGGGAGTGGGCAGGGGTGATCCCAAGGCTGGAGGGCCACAGGGGGCCATTACCCACTGCAGGGGCCCCATGGACAGGAGCCCCCAGAGTCCGTGCCCTTTGGGACAGCACAACAGCGATGCAGCTCTGCTGTCCATGGTACCTTTCCTGCCAATGCCCTGGAGCTTTGGTAAATGACTGTTCCTAAGAGCTGTTCTATTTTTTTTTTTTTTTTAAGATTTTATTTATTTGACAGAGAGAGACACAGCGAGAGAGGCAACACAAGCAGGGGGAGTGGGAGAGGGAGAAGCAGGCTTCCTGCGGAGCAGGGAGCCCGATGCGGGGCTCGATCCCAGGACCCTGGGATCATGACCCGAGCCGAAGGCAGACGCTTAACAACTGAGCCACCTAAGAGTTGTTCTATCCAGAACCTAATGGAAGGGCTGCACCATGTCCTCCCCAGTGAGGAAGAGGGGACTTTGTTCCAGGAAAGCAGCAGCCAAGGAGGATTCTGCAAGTCACAGGCTCCTGAGTGTCAGAGAGGGACACTGCAAAGGGGAAGGAGGCAGGGAGGGGAAGGAGGAGGGGAGAGGAAGGGTGGAGATGAGGAGGCGGGAGGAGGGAGGGAGAGGACAGAAGGAGTGTGGTGGGAGGGAGGGAGGCAGAAAGGGAAGGGGGGATGGTTGGGAGGAAGGCAATGAAGGTTCTCTGAACATTTCCAGTGGGCCAGATCTTTCCCATGCACCCTGGGGCTCTTGGTAAACCCATTTTATAGATGAGGAAACAGGCTGAGAGAGGGGACGCTCAAGGTCATGGGGCTAGATCTGCTCTCAATGACTCCAAAGCCCCTCCTGGGTCCAAGGTAGTCCCTGCCTCTTGCTCTCCAGGGGTGCTGCATGTTCAGAGACTTTGCATTCTGTCTGTCTATACCTCCATGGAAGCCCAACCCTTTTACTGGAAATTCCCACCCCAAACTGCTTCTTAGTGGGTGTGGATGCAGAAAGACCAAGGCAGAGATTCAGACTGACAGAGCGCAGGGAAAGCCCTTCAGCACACATGTGCATCCCCGGGTTGCACAGGGAGCTAGCAGCCTGTGCCTGGTGGCTCCTGCCAAGTCGAACAACAATGAGGCCCAAGCTGCCAAGCCCGAGTCAGGGGCCAAAAATGCATGGAATGTGAAACCCGGACACAGGCCGCACTGAGGGCCACCTAAAAGAGGGCCTTTCTTCTGTGGGGAGCAAGGGCCCTGTGTTTCTGAGGCACTGTGGGTGCACAGTGCGGCTCCCAGCCCGGGTTCCCCACGCGTGCGTGTCCACCAGGTGCCCAGGGACCACATCAGGATGCGCCTAAGGGTTCAGCGAGGCCTGCCGGGGAGCCAGGTGCCTCGGTTCAAATCCTGGCCTGGCGTCATTTAACCATGCAGTGACTCAGTTTCCTCATCTGGAAAATGGGGTATCTAATATAGATGTTCCTCTTAGGGTCACTGAGAGGACCGAATGTGTTTACAGATGAAAACTCCTTACAGCAGAGCCTGACACGTGTGAAGGTCCTCAGAGACTCTGTCATTAGCATTAACTCTCACTGGGCGGACGAGTGGCGGACACGGGGACTGGTGCTCAGAGAAGGGTGGGGACTTGCCCAGGGTCACACAGCTGGTAAGCGACAGAGCCGGGGCTGTTGGCCCCCAGATCATGCTCCATCTGCCTCACTGCATGTCCTCTTTGGGACCACTCTGGAGCAAATGCCTTCATCGCTAATGTGAACTGT